AAATTTTGCTACATTTATTCACTCGACCTTTTTTTTTCAAGCATTTGAACAATTTTTTTTAGTAAATAAATTATTCCAAAATGAAGACACTGTAAATGTAGCGTTCGAAGAATATTTTAATTTAAAGAGTAATGATTTTCATAAGTTTGGAACAATCAAACTAGTTAATTGATGAGAAAAGTTAAATTATTTTTTGAAGAAACACAATGTAACGACGTTTCAGTTTCAAAATTGAATAAACTTTTTGTTCTTTGTTTATTTGTATTAAATTTGTCGTGTTCATTTTGGAAATAAAATTTAAGTATTCTTATATGTTGCTCCGTTGTGAATTTGTCCATGATGAATGTCCAAAGAAGAAGTTTTCAATATCTGAAACAGAAATTTTGAAATATACAACAGAAATAAAGGTCGTTCAATTTCTAAATAATAAAGCAACTTACGGGACACTACAGATATTCTTCGTTAAAAATATTGTAGTACTAAATAATTTTAAGCACCTATACCGAGTACTAATAAACAAAAGTTAATAAATAGTTTAGCATTTATTTTTCACTCATCATCGCTGGAGGAAGTATCATTTTAGTTTTCACATCAAGTTGAACAAATGTTCTTAAAAGAAAGATGCACGACAGCTGAACAATGTAACAAAATATCCCACAAACTGGGGTGCAGAGAACACTCCTCGTGCCCAGGTAAAGGTTAAATGCTATTTCAAGAAAAAGAAAACGAAATATTCACCAGTTTAAACCCTGTGAACAATGAAATCTTGATAATTCTCAATTCACCAGCGTCGAAAACTCACTTAGCCTCGGCAAACTTGAAAGTCACCATTCTAACAAGTTGTAACTTCACGTGTTCGCTTTCGCCCAATTACCGCGGTACCTGATGCGTGAACAACCGCATACATGTGCATAAACTTCTCACCTGGAGCGAGCATCGTTGCGTACCACGTTGGTTCCGCTAATTGTCGAATTCTCCGGCGATCGTTAACCGATGTCGTCCTGTACTCCTCTTCCTGTAGAAAGTGTTTCTCGCGGGTCCACGAGCCCCGACTTCCGGCTCCCTTTCTTCTTCTCCTTCGCCGATGGGCGCGGTCTGCGGTGAGCGGTGGACACATGTGGAAAACCGCACATCCTTCCTATTCTGACCGCCATCTGCCTCGTTTCCGGCCGCCCTTCGAACGTACTCCTCCGTCCACCCTATCTCACCGCTCTGCCTTCTCTCGTCCTTTTTACGCCAGAATTGAGAAACTAGGGACTTCGTTTGTACGTAACAAGCGTATTACCGTCGCTCTTCTCGGTCTATCAGTTTTTTGGACCACGTTGAAATTTATTTCCTTGTAATTTGAAATGCTCTAACCCTTTCGTTACGCAAGGTTCGTGTACACGCTTTGTGAAAAGAATCGCTCGTTTACGAGGAGCGTATATACCGGGTGTCTCGGTTTTTTTCGATCAAGTTTGCGAAACTTTGTCAGTGTATTCTATGGGTATAAATAAGAGAAAAGTGTTATATAAACGTGGGTCGTTTGAAGCTTTGCTAACGAATTATAATAAAAATATACATATGCTTTGTATATTTTTACTGTCCGTTTTTGAATAGAAAGAAGATAATACATTTTCGATACATTTATTAATATTTACTGAGCAATATAATTCCCATCGTTATTGTAACGATGGTAATTTGTGGATTCAATTTCTGTAGAATCACTCATCTTTGGATCTTGAAATGACGTTATTGGACAGAACTTTCCGGTAAACCTAATATGAGCCACGCTCGGAAGCCAAAGTGATTAACTTCATCGTGTAAGATTTATTAAATTTGTTTTATTCATGAAAAATTAAGCACCGAGTGTGTGCTTTTATACTAAAATTTGAGATAATCATTTTGACTTCTGAGTGGCACGTGTGATACTAAATTTGTCGTAGGAACGTAATTTAAATCACACAATCCTCTCTGTACGTAATACTTACGACCAGCAGTATATTGTTACTTTTACGTTGCGTCGGATAATTACTGTTTCGTCCACTATACACGGAGCGCTTTTTGTCTTAGACGCACCGTAGCGAAGGGGTTAAAAATTGAACATTGTAGAGAATTTGTTCGACAAGCCATTGTGGGGAGATTAATTCGGGAGTAAGGAAATTGAACAAAGGTTTCAAACCGGAAGATCGTGTACCTCGCGATAAGTAATTGAATTTCCCCGAATAAATTACAGGCATTCGGTGAATCGTGAGGGTAACAGCCACGGTAAACAGACAGAGAGAGAGAGAGAGAGAGAGAGAGAGAGAGGAAAAATAAGAATAATTGAAGAACAGACGTCTGAAGGCTCCGAGACGAGGAAAATCGATCGGAAACCGCATCGATTCCTGTCCCTCGTCGATTAAGTGTCTCTCCTCCGCTACAAGCGGAATGTTTAATAATGCCTTTCAACTCTTTGTGCACCGACCAAGGCATTCTTCCTCGTTCGCGGAAGGTTGTTTCGTCGATTTCGAACGCTTGACATCGATTCGTGAAACAAAGTGGCTTTTTATTCTCGTTGAACTTCGTTTGCAAGTATAAAAGGAAGCTAGTAGAGGGAAACGTGTTCCCGTGGAATTATTTGTTTGATTTTTATCTCGATTTTCTATATCCAGACGGGAGAATACGTTATGCATATACCATGTGTCTCTGGAAAAACGACGGCACAACTACAGAGTTCGATTCTTTCCCAGTGAAATTCTACGATTTTCCCCTTCATTCTCCAGTGTGTTCGTCTAACCGAATAATTTCACGGTACATTACATCGTTCTATCAATATTACAATGTACAGGGTGTGCCACGTGAAACAGGCCACCTAATTATCTTCTCTAGCTATTAGTGGCACGAGAAAATTTTTATACGCAATTTAAATGATTTCAAACAGTAAATAAAACGGAAGAAAATTTTTTTTTTTTTTTTCTTTCATGGTGATCTAAGTTATGCATTTTTTTTCTACCGTATGTCGTAGCAGATGTCGATGTTTAAATTTTAAACCGAGTGTAAAATTTCCTTTCGTTAAAAAATTTTTTCTTTGAAACCATTCGAGGTACGTAAAAAAATTAGGTGGCAGGTTTTACGTGGCCCACCTTGTATACATCGATAATTCTGTTTGGAAATGTTTGGAGGACGATATTCAGGTTTTCTCTTGAACAAACCATTTCTTCTTGGGAACACCGTGTATATGTGTAACAATGCTACATTGATATGAAATACTATCGTTATTTTATAAATTGAACGACAAAAGCAATTCTATCTTTCATATACAGACAGTAGGAAACGTAGTGTGTTGTAGGTATTCCACAGATAATGATATTATTAAAATGGAAGAATAAGATACCAATAATAAGATTAAATTGAGATCTGAGCGCATTGTGTTTATTTTCTACATAACATCTATGTCGAATAAAAAGAAGATTAATGTGATGGATGACTGTATATTTCTAATCGATTTGTTATCTATTAAGACTTTCTCGATTTTTTAATCAAAAAATCTTGCGATTACGAAATACTCGGTTTTATTATTATTATTTTTCTCTCTCTTAAATCATTTGTAGGGACACGTGTTGAGGAGAGGAGGGTTTCTTGGGCAATTCTCGCCCTCCCTTCGACGTTTCCAACTCCCACCTCGAACCTTTCCCTGGTTGTTAAATTCTCTCGCTCCAGTTGACGCCAACAATCGATCAGTTTCGTTAATACCTTTGATTTTCTCCCAATTAGTCCAACGAATTATTCGTCGTTCCTCTGTTTGTTGGTCGTTCAAAGGGTAATTAAGTTGAAGCTGTTGAATTCTACTAGTATGAAGATATATTAGGCTTACGGTTGATAATATATTGCACCGCTGACAAATTATGGTATTGTTTAGAGTGAATTAGCAGGCGATTTAGCTGTGTTTGACAGAGGGAACTATGTATACGGTTAACGTTTCGGTGGTTCTAAAATGGATTGGCCAAATTGGGGCGGTAGAGTAGCAAATGTATTCGTGCGAACTAGCTAATTAGCTTGTCGAGATTGGAAATGTGTTATTGTGATTCAGTGGGTGGGTAAGAGATGTTATTGAATATTTTCTGTTTCTAATATGCAAACTTCCAAATGTTCGAAATTTCAAATACTCAATATTTGAAATATTCAAGATTTCGGATATTCAAAATTTCAAATTTTCTATTATTCAAATACTCAAAACTTCAGATATTAGAATGCTCAAGATTTCGGATATTTAAAATTTCAGCTATTCAAGATTTTCGGATATTTAAAATTTCAGCTATTCAAGATTTTCGGATATTCAAAATTTCAAATTTTGAAATATTCAAGATTTCGGATATTTCAAATATTCAAATACCCAAAATTTCAGATATTTTAAATTTAAAAATTTCAAATTCTCCAGTATTAACACCTTTCAATTTACAGACTCCAAATCACCCGCGGATAGACCTTTAAATCGCAGTGAATTTAATTCCTACCATCTCCACGTGATTCGTATGCTGCATCAATTTGTCGCAACATCGATAACGCTCGAGGCATTAGCGAAATTTCGTCGGAAAATCCGTCGCGCTGAGGAGGAACGTCTTTTCGAGGTCCAGGCAGAAACTAAGAGAGTTCATCTCTCTGTCTGTCTCTCTCTCTCGATAGAATCGATCAGATCGCGTCTCTTTCTCGCTTCTTCTCATTGAAAACTTGTAACGAGGCTTTTGTAATGCGAGCCATTCGAATGCAAATGCCCGTCGGGCTTCTTCTTGACAGTTCGCTTAGAGAACGACTCCAATTTAACGATTAAGTTGGTCGAGGGGAATCTGCGGTTCCGAACACAGGTCAATCGCTACCCCCCCTCCACTTTGTACAGACTTGGAATAAGGATGAATCGATCCGTGGTTTTTCCTTCTCCGACACGATGAAAAGCTGAGACGAACCAGTTCCCTATGTTTGACGATAGTTGGCTGAATTCTTCTAGCCGAGTATAATCGTCTGGGAAAAAATGTAAATGAGCATTGAAATCTCCGGGGTAAGCAATGGCGGATGGAAAGCTGCATCTGATTCGTTTAAAGGGATAGATATAGATATATATTCGTAATTTTTTCGTGAGAAAAATAAATCTCCTTTGTAAAAAAAACAATCTTACAAATTTCGCGATAACCAAACACCAAAAGGTAATAACGATCCAGCTTGTTATCCTAAGATGTGCCTGTTAGCGTTTGATCTCGGTGAATAATGAGTAGAGCTTCGAGGAGGTTATCTAAACAGTATTTATTTCGTTAAAACATTCGCACAGGAGGTAACAGATCCCCGAAAAATATCGAAATTCTCCTCCGACGAGGACACATCCTCAGAAAAATCCACCTTGGATCGAAGGATCTGTCCCATCCTCTCGTTCAATTTCACCGAACAATCGACGCACAGCACTCTTCACGCAGGCGGGATGAGAATATTTAGAAGAAAAGTAGAAAAGAAACACAGCAGAATGAAGTCACTTTGTAACGGACAGTCCTCTCATTCACACTTCGACATCGGTCGCCAGATTCTCTCTCACATTCTTTTGTAATCGAACTTCACTTGTTACAACATCTCCGTGTATTTATAAGTACAAAAAGTACGCAGCCGCGAGAAGGATCATTAAGCCGGCGAGCATGATAGTCGGCGACATCCCTTCGTTCTTTTTATTCGTCTCGTTCTTCCCGTAGGACGTCGACCAGCTTTGTTTCGGCGTTTTGTAGGTTTTCTCCTCGTGCACCAGTTCTCCGACTAGGTATTTCTTCATCAGGTCGAAAGCATCGCTGGAATGGCCGATGTCGTCGAAGTCCTCGGAACTGTCCTTGCCGCTATGATCCAGAAGGATCTCCTCGCCACCTGGATGCTCGTTCAGGAAGTCCGTGACGTCGTACACCTTGTCATGGAGGATTATCAGGGTCTTGTCCTTCGTGCTGTATTTGGCAACCTCACTCTTCGTGAACTGCTTGCTCATGCTTGTGCTGGTGATGTCTTGCAGTGTAGTGGAAATTCTGCAATTAGAGAATTGGTTGTCTAGTTTAGTGTGCTTGCTGGAAGTAGATCGTCCTGACAGATTCATGGAGATTAGAACAGGATTTATCGATGGCGTTGAGGTGGTGATGTTTTAAGGAGGGTAAAAATAGGCAACGTTTGGGAATTTTTCTCGTTGTTAACGACTGGATGAAATGTTTCAATTTTTTTAGAGAATGTAAATATGACTTTCAGCCGTTTTTTGCAATTTTTAGAAAGTAAAAATGTTACAAAATGGACGAGTTACTGGGAAACTTGTTATGTTAGAATATCGATTATTTGGCAACGATTGGAATTTCTAAAAAATTCTTTCGTGTTTGTAAACACAAATGCAATTATTTAATTTTTTAGAAAGAGCTTTTCCTTTTCAAGATTCCACTGTTTCTACGATATGTACAATTTTTGTAGATAATACATTTGTATTTATAAATCAGAAAGAATTCGTTATTCTAGACGTTCCAATCCTTGCCAGCGATCGATCTTCTAACAGAAGCAGTTTCGCAATAACTCCCACATTTTGTGATATTTTTACTTCGCAAAAATTGCGGAAAAAATCTGAAAGTTACATTTATATTCTCTGGAACAAATTGAAACCTCCCATTTGATAGTTATCCACGAAAAAAGAATCCCAAACCTCGCTATTTTTAGACGACTCAGAATGGTGTACTCCCTTAAACGATAAAAGTTACTCTTTCTTTTCACTTCTTTTTTCAATTCTATGATTATCGTACACGGGTTAACATTAGGTCGGCGTTTTTCCAACTCTTTTGTCATTCTCCAGATCAACCTAGCCTAACCTTACGATCTCTTCACAGTTGTTACACACAATTCTTAACGATACGTTACAAATGCAAAACGTGTAGAACTAGCCTCGCGACCAACTTCTATCCTACAGTTTGTCCGCGAATTTTTCAGAAATAGAGAATAAAATGTGCTCTCGGTATAAAAGTTGAATTTGCCTCTTTTTTTTTTTTCGAATGCGAAACCCACGTTGCCTCAGGCTAGAGAAAAATGGCGGATTCCTAGCGAGCGAAAAAATTTATAGCGGCGAATTCCAACACGAACCGTGAATTAGTTCAAAAACGGGGAACAACGGAGTGAAGGAGGGAAAAAAATGTAGTTTCAGAAAAAAAATTCCGATCGACGTAGAAATGTGAGACTCACGCTGCCTTCGAGTCAACATCGTGAAAAGTCATGCTTGATTTTATAACAAGTCATATTACACTTCGTCCTTCGTTCTTATTCGATACAAACTGTCACGATCGAACGTGTGGTTGTTCGAACATTCTCAACAAAACATTGTCATTTCTATTTCAAAGCGTATTTCCGATCTGCGTACAAATGAGTCAATCGTATCAGCCGTCGATCGACACAATTTGTATACCTAGAAACGTTCCGCCTTATGTATTTCTCTTTCTTCGTTTTCTCCGGTCAACGATAGTGTCCAAACTTTTTAATCATTTTTCTGTTTTAATTCATCTCCGTTTCTCTGCTCCTTTTTCAATTAAAATTAATCCACAGAGACGAACTAAGTGAAACGAGCTTTCTCACGATGAGAAGAGCAGCGGGCAGCAGCGAATAAAATAAAGAAATGGAGAGAAATATTAATTTCGCGTTGGTTAAAACGCGCACGAGATCGATGTAATATATACCACGGTATCTCGTTTGTTTCGTTACTCAGCGGAACGTTCTTTTTCGACAGATAACCGATGTACCCGCGATTCTATCGTTGCCTCTTCTATATGTCGCTGGTGCTGGTTATTTGTCCAGTTGATTGTTCTTGCTACGAAGCCTTGTATCCGAGATACTACGATAAACGGTCCGTGAAACGTTTCATTATGTAACCAATCGATCGTTTGCCCCGAAGATAATGAACGAAGCGATACGGAAATCGATAAACAAGCTATAAATGGCTTTAAAAAACCTCGTCTCTACCGAAAGTTAATCGAGCAACATTTTGAAATCTCGCTGTTCGTAAGATTATTCTCTCGCCTATCTAACGGTATTTCAACGCTACGTCGTCTTTTCTCTGTGGAACTTTTTATTTGTTTAGGAACATTCAACGTCCGCCTTTCGAGGAATTTTCGAGAGAGAGATTCGAGGCTTAAGTGTGCCTTAAAGGTGATTACGAAAGTGGCCTGACTCGTTTCGAGATATTTAGAATTTTCGCTTTGGGCGTATTACAAAGATATTCTTTTATTTCACGAAATACTTTGTCCTCATGATATAACTCTTGTCTGCGAAAAGATCAATGCAACATAAAATACAGCGATAAATACCATTTTTCTCTTTAGATTTTTGACTTAGACCACTTTGAAAATCAGCAGCGCAAGAATTCCCTCGATAAACAGTCTCTTCTCGAAGGATTCTGTTCACCTAATTTGCGTATCCATCCTCCATTTTGCATAAATTTCTTCGACAGCAGTAAAACAGGAATTCCGCTTTAATTACGTAACCTTATCGTTTCGAACATTGGACTTCATATTTTAATTATATATACTTAAGTTGTCTCGTGTTTTTTTCATTCTAAAAGTATTTCTATGTTACGAGTTCCGAGTTGCTTAATTAACGAGGAAACAATTGCGCGTTTTCTTCGTTCGTCTCTCAAGGTAATAGGTAGAAATTTACGAGCTCTACGATTCGAGATTAAAGAAACCTCCTTCTTCTTTCTTTCCTAACCTCGAATACGTAAAATTGGAAAATCGCAGTAGAACGTTTTCCAAGCGATGAAGCGAAACTTTTCAGCGAGGCTTGGAAGCAGATTTTCGACGCCATCGTGCGCGCGCGATTACGCGAAGGTCATTGAGATTACACAATCATTTCGCGTTGATGATGCTTCGCTTTTTAGAGATACTCCCAGTGCCGTATCTATCCTCCTCGTAGCCCGTCCGCGGTAAGAAGATCCCTCGAACAATTACCGTTCCACGAAAGTAGGATGAATCTCCGGGCAAACGAGGCTTGAATGTTCAAGTAGCCAGCCCCAGTCGATCGATCGAACCATTTAATCAGCCACGGTGTAATTAAATGTCGAGCCACGTGGTCTCTCCTCTCTCACTCTCCAGTGGAATAGGAACGGAAAAAAACGAGGGAAACGTTGTTCTTGCACGACGAGAAATATATATTCACGGGGGACGTTTGAATTTATCGCTGTCGCGGAATTCTACGCGTTCGCGTTTGCTAAAAACGATACTGGAGAATTCGCTTGCGCGGGTGATCCGTCTAGAAATGAATGTACGAAAAAATGGTGAGAATTGTCGAATTCCTCGTGTAAATACGCGAAAGATAAGTATAGGTGAACTTCAACTTGAAATTATCCAATGTTAATTGATTCGCAACTCGGTGAATTGCGAAATTTCTAAGGTACGTTCCACGATTCCATTGAACTATCCGTGCGAGGAGAACTGCGCAATACACACTGTGTCCAGAAGACCAGTTCTACTGGTTCTCGAAATATTCGAGCAGCTCCGTTCGTAGAAGAGGTTCGTTCATGCTCGATCGCGGCGCCTCATTCGCGATTGCACGAGAACGAACGATGAACACGGCGTTATTATGTCAATCACACTTTCCGACCGAATATCCCAAGCAAAGAGGTGTATCTCTAATGGAAACTCTGTTCACCTGTGAACCACACGTACCTTCTTCTTGCTCGTGTGAAATGACCACGAGAACTGGTAGCTCCGAATCCCGAATGATTCTCCTTTTGCTGGTTGGGGCCGTGTGTGGTTCTCGGTTTGACGGTGAAAGAGGAAGAGAGAGGAGAGAACGAGAGTTTGCTCGCGAGTCTGCAACAGCACAAACACTGCCACCAACCAGGTCAGCCCGTTAGTAGCTTTATCCTTGCCCCCTCTAGATGCTTCCCCACCATGTCCCCTTATCATCTACTCCCACTCGTACACCAGCTGTGATTCGCTATATTTCTCTCTCTCTCTCTCTCTCTCTCTCTCTCTCTCTCTGTCTGTCTGTCTGTCTGTCTGTCTGTCTGTCTGTCTGTCTGTCTGTCTGTCTGTCTTTTGTACGTACATAGAAATCTCTGTTTTGTTCTAGAGATCAGTAGAAACGTGTACGATGGTCCCTCTAATCGCAGACTCTATCTGTGTTTCCTCTTTGATATTGTTTTCGAGCTTCAATAGGCGGAGGAATTTTTTTTCCCAAGTGGAAGTTTCTATTTCTAACTGTGAGGTGTGCTCCATGAAATGTGGAGATTTGGTTTGTCACTTAAAATTACTTGTGAAATTTTGTTCTTTTAGTTTTTAGTTTTTCTTATCTAATTTTTGATAATTTTGGTGGACTATGGATGCATTCGTTTCCTGAATTTTGCAATGTTATTAGGATCTGTGTATAAGTTTGCGTTGTATTTTTCTGGAGAATGGGTGTTTGTAATTATGTCGTAATTTGTTTGTAATTTGTCGGTGCCAATGTAATAATGATATAATATTAATACTGTAACTGTGATAGAGTATAGAGCTTTTTTTTATTATATGTGTAATTGAATGTTACCAAAGTAATAATGGTATAATATTAATGCTATAGTATAGAAGCGAACCTTTTTTATTATATTTATTGTATTTTGTGGAGAATGTGTATTTATTTGTTATTACATCTATAATTAA